CACCTCGGAAGGATGGAAGGCTGAGTCAACCTTGAGCCAGTGAGATTAGAACCGCTGAACTGCAGTTAGCAGTCAGCCGAAGTGGCCTGCAGTACTCCACTCTAACCACTCTGCCACCTCGGCTCCTCATTTTGTTCAGATTTCCAAGCAGATGGATTGCAACTTTAAATCCAGTTCCCGTGGTCTAGTTTCTATTGCCTAAGTAATGCTGTGAACTTGGTGTGCATTGTGCATGTCCAAAGCCATGAAAGAAGCATCAATGTGCAACAGGTTTGTGTTTGCACAATTCCTAAAATCTGACTAAACTGGCTCTTAGGGGAAAAAATTAAAAATGCTTTTACTTGAAAAGCAAGTATTATCTTCAGCCATGGTTGAAAGAATAATTGTAGTATTATAAACAATATTTTTAAAAGAGGGAGCAACCCTAACATTAATGCTTGTTTTAAATTATTGGCTAGTTGCATCGTTTCTAGAAAAACCCAAGGGACAATCAGCATTCTTAGCATAATTATGTGGTTCAGCATTATTTCAACTGGAAAAGACCGGAGCAAAACCTTTCTTTTGCATTTAGTTTTGTGCTTAGGAGTTCAGGTTATATAAAAATAACTACCCCATAATTGTAGCGTAGAGTGACAGATATCTAAATGAGCCTGTACTACCTTGTTATTCTGAATTTATAGTGACTCTCAAATCACATATTGTGTCATTCGTAATTCATAGAGTCTGAAAAGTTGCACAACATGTAATACTTGCTTTTTAGAATAAATTCTCCTTAAACTTTTTCGACTTGCAGTGTAGAATTATCACCTTTTAGCATTCTGTTTTTCCTTTTCTCCTCTTGCTGATTTGTAATCAAATTGCAGTAAATAAACAAATGGAACAATGTTTTTTAAAAAACACAATAATAGTAATAATGCTTTTCACACAGCATGAATTCGAAGGAAATACTTTGGGATCTCACTATTTAATAACTGTAGGCAAAGTTATTGTTACCCTGAAATATAAATTCTATCCACACAGGAGTATTTGCAATCAAAATCAAATTCTTAAAGAAAAAAAATTCCAGAAAAACCAATAACAAGAGTTAAATGAAACAGGAAACTGATCTAGGGAAGATGCAATAAAAATAATTCTGTTGTTTCAAACTGCATTAAAACAGGAGAGCAAGTTGATAAATGTTGCAGTTATTGACAGTAGGGAATTTACAGCCATAAATCATATCTGATTTCTCATTATCAAACTGGAAAAGATATTTAGGCAAACTTTTGTTACATCCACTGGAATGACCAATAGCTTCTGAAAAGGCTACTTATGAAAGGGTCACTTTTAGCATTATTGCTAACTTCTTTTTAAAAATCCATGGAATAATGTGTATTGTTCTAGTCACTATAGATAACTTACTATGGAATTGGAAATCTTTAGGAAGAGAGAAACCAGAATTATCAAGGAAAAGTTACAAATGCCTGGACATTTTAATTTAGGGCCGAGGTGGTGCAGTGGTTAAATGCAGCACTGCAGGCTACTTCAGCTGACTGCAGTTCTGCAGTTCGGCTGTTCAAATCTCACCGGCTCAGGGTTGACTCAGCCTTCCATCCTTCCGAGGTGGGTAAAATGAGGACCCGGATTGTTGTTGGGGGCGATATGCTGACTCTGTAAACTGCTTAGAGAGGGCTGAAAGCCCTATGAAGCAGTATATAAGTCTAACTGCTAACTGTTATTGCTATTAAAGAACAGATGAAAGTGTAATATAATAGGTAAACCTCATGATTGGTCACATAGCAACCATTTGAAGTTACAAAAGCCAGACAAAGGCTATGTATGACTCTGTTTCAAAGTTATGGCAACTGCAGCCGACCCCGTGGTCATTCATTCTTACAACTGACCACAGGATGCTGCAATCACACTCCTCTCCACTCTCTCCTCAAGTCTCCCGCTTCCCACCCCACCTCCAGCAACAATCATATACTCTGCCCCTCAATGTCTCTGGGCCACTCGGCATCATCTGAGAAGCGAGTGCCATTTTCCGAGCACTCTAATCAGCCTCTAAAATTGGCTTCCTTCTCACTGTTTCCCTCCTACTGGTGGCTTGCCTTAATATGGCAACCCTTAACTAGGATTGATCTAACAGCATGTTATTATGCTATTCTGATGGGATTATTCAAATATTTAAAGATAAAAGGTAAACCAAATATGAGTATGTATTTCTTAAACCTGAAATTAAAAGTGCTGCGACCGATGCAATATTTAATTAGAGAAGTGCTATTTTTAAAATATGTATAAGATCAAACATTGTCCACCTCAATGTCTTTATGTTTAACACAATAACGGAAAAGCTAGACTTAAGATTTAAGATTTAATGGATTTGTATGCCGCCCAATCCCGAAGGACTCTGGGCGGCTTACATAAAAACAATTTAAAAATACTAAAAATTTAAAAGACAAAGACAAAGCAAGTTAAAAGAACACAACATGCACTCAGTTCTTAGTGGGGCTGGAACTCAATCAAGGATCAGAAGCCCCAGGCCTGCTGGAACAGCCAGGTCTTAATGGACTTTTGGAAGGCCGAGAGAGTGGGGAGGGTCCGGATCTCAGGGGGTAGATTGTTCCATAGGGCTGGGGCAGCTACAGAGAAGGCCCTCCCCCGAGGAGCCGCCAGACGACATTGTGTAGTCGATGGCACCCGGAGAAGGCCCATCCTGTGAGATCTTATCGGACGCTGGGAGGTATGTGGCAGGAGGAGATATCCAGGTCCTAGGCCATGTAGGGCTTTAAAGGTGATAACCAGCAAGCGCGTTCGGAGACCAATAGGGAGCTAGTGCAGCTCGCGGAGGATAGGTGTCACGTGGGTGTACCTCGGTACACCCAGTATCGCTCGAACTTGACTTGAACTAAACTCCTGCTAACTAATCTTCTTAAACATTAATCTTAGTCCTACTACTACTTATCTCAGATTTCCAAGGTAGGAAATGTTAATATATTAATAAGAATTATAATCTTGAATGAAGAATGGACTCTGTTGGATGTGTGCTCCATGTGAGTGAACAACATCCAGCAAAGACCATAATCAATTGGATACCACCAGAGATTCAGAGAAAAAGAAAACCTGGTGCCAAACATTACAAGAAGACCTGAAAAACATCAATCTTAAATGGAAAGATGTGGAGACTGTAGTGGCAGACATAAATAAATAAATGAATAAATAAATCCTTGGGAAGGACTCAAGAGGTGAATGAAAATTCCAAACCCAGTCTAAACATCTGGCTCATTGTGGGACAAACCACAATAATTATAATGATACCCAAAAATCCAAATGTCAGTAATTTCTAAACACTAAAATGCTGTAAATAAATTCAATTAGTCCTTGTGACAATAAAGAATGACTATTCTGGAAATGCGTAAAGTATCTTTTCATTGCCTGCAGAAACTATTCAGCACTACAGTGTGTACAGAAGAGGGAACTTCACTTTCTCTATTTTAATCATTTAAAATGTACTTTACTTGATGACCTGTTGATGTTTCTTGAAATGCCAAGCTTACCTGGTGTTCATTAAAACAAATCTTAAAAGCAAGAAGATCAAATTGGAAAGCTAACGATACTTTTGAAGACAGCAGTGACTTCATAACTTGTTTTATTTCTACGCCATCTTCTTATTCCATCATGAAAATCATTCATTAAAGTAACTTTGCCAGCATTTACAGACAGGAATTCATATTTAATTTCAAAGGGCAACAGGGAATTTATCATCGGGCTTCCCCACCTCCCACCCCCACTCTCTCTTTCAATCTTAATCCCTTCACTTTTGTAGGAAAGAAGGAAGGGTTATGATTTTGTGATGCTGTGATTGGCGGGATCCACCTTAAATTCATAACGTGGCTCATGTATATATGGATCTATACATCCTTTAGTTAAAGGTGAATATTGCAAACTGATTAACAAGAGACTTTCATGCATGGTGGGGATTTTTCCCCTTTCCATCATCTTTAAATGGTCGTCTATAGCTGATGAACATCTATGGTCCTACAGCTATTGTTGAACTATATAATACTGATCATTATATTTCAGCATTGGCCATAACTGAGCATTAGCTATACTGGTTGAAGCTAATGGAACCCGGGACCAGCTAAACACCTCAACCCGGCGTTATATTTAGAAAGTGAATCTTGTTACCCATTTCAGTGATGCATTACTTATGACCATGTGCCCCTGGCGCTGAGTTGACGTTTGTTATCTTGTTTCTGCAGAGTGTAATTGTAACCGTTTGGGCTCAGTCCATGATCGCTGTAATGAAAAAGGAATTTGTGAGTGTAAGCAGGGAGCAACAGGGCCTAAGTGTGATAAGTGTCTGCGGGGATATAACTGGCACAACCAGGGTTGTCAATGTAAGTAATTGCCCTACTTCTGCCCCCCCTTCATCCCTTGCTGCCTGTGCTTCCCCCGTGCCAGCATGCTCGGCCCCCAAGGCCAGACTAATTTTTTTTAAAAAGAGCGAGCTTTCCAAATGTATCCCGCCTGAGCCTGAACTCTAATGAGAGCATTCCAACAAAGGCAATAAATTGGCTATGCAATCCGTTTGTTTCAATATGCTGTGTTAAGTGCCCCTTTTCTTTCTTCCTGCTAATGCTTGGAGCACCGTGGAACTGAAAATAGCACGCGTTGGTGTCTTGCCAGGTCTAGTTCAATGGAACTATGATGAGCTATACTTCTCGTGCCCTGGTTCCAAATGCAGAACCAGAAACATAAACACGATATACTAATATGCATGTGCATTTTTCTCTTTTTGCATTTACCTTTTCCTAGATACTGGAAACTTGGAAGTCATGAATTAATCTATTTCTCTCACTTAAGCCCTTAGTTTGGGTTTAGTTTCTGTTTACTATCTGCTTTTCTTCCCCCGTATGAATCTGACAGTGTTTAAATTGCTTTAGGTAATAGAGAGTTATTGCTTCCAAAAGTGCCTACCGAAAACGGCCTTCTCTGTTGCCGCTCCGGCCCTATGGAATGAGCTGCCCCCAGAGATCCGGGCCCTACCCACTCTCATGGCCTTCCGCAAAGCTATTAAAACCTGGCTTTTCCGGCAGGCCTGGTGCCGTTGACCTCTTGATTGAGGTCCGGCCCCTCTCTGATTGGGTGTATGTTGTGCTTTTTCTTAACTTTGTTGCGTCTCATTGTTTTAATTCTTTTTTAATCATTTTTCATTTGTGTAAGCCGCCCGGAGTCCTTCGGGATTGGGCGGCCTAGAAATGCAATGAAGTGAATGAAATGAAAACAAGGGGAACCCGTGTTGATTCTGTCTTGTTCAACCTCCCAACCGCAGTTACTAAGTCTTCATCAGATTCAGGGCAAAGTTTGGCTAAAGTTTGAAAGCAATGTCTGGAGCAGGTTTTTTGTAAAAACTGCTCTAGGGCTTACTTAATTATATCGACCTGAAGCTGATTCTGGGAAATGCTAGGAAGGAAAAAGAGAAATTTTTAGTGAAAAGAAGAACGGGAAGGGTGGAAAGGAATATGTAAGCTATTCCCAAGTTACAACTATGGTTAACTGTGTGGGAAGTAATAAAAATGCATTGCACAAATTTTGGATGACCACTCATGTGTTGATGTAAGTGTTTTTACATTACAACACAGTCGGGGTGGGGGACCACACACACACACACACACACACACACACACACCAGCAGGCTATTTGAGAAATAGAAGCAAAAATGGAGTTTCAGGTAGGTAAAACTCAATTGTATCCAGTTAGAATACATGAGTTCCATAAATTCACAATGGAAGTTGTCTTGACTAAATTACAAATCAACATTTTGTTAAGATAACATTAAGGTTGGCTCATCATAGTGAGTTCTCAGAAAAAAAAAGTTGCAATTTGATGTGCTTTTTATCTGATGTTCTGCATGTTGGATGCTAATATATTTTCATTTCTATTTTACTTGTGCTCTATCTCCATACTTAATGGCTACTCATTGGTTCTGTTGTGTAGTTATCACGTGAATCTTCCTCATCGTCCAGGAGGTATTCAACTCTTTTCTTCATGTTCATCTCTTTGAATGCATCTCAGATCTGCAACAATGACTGAAGGCAGTTGCAATGCCAAATGTGGGACTGATGAGCAAGTCATCCTCCAAAAGAGGGTGCAGGCAAATTTAATCTGCCTTGAATGCAAAGGTTGCATAGTGGTTGGAATCAGTAAGAAGATAAAGAGTTGGTGTCATTTAAGACTAGGAATATATGGTTTAAAGCAGGAAGTAACCAAATGAAATCTTAGCTCTACCATAATTCAATAGGTAATTTTAGATAAAAACTCATTGACGGTTTCCAAAATAACAATAAGATATTATGCACAATTATTCATGAACAACTTTGGGGTAATCTTATAATGATTTGCTTGTGCAGGAATGTAAATCAATGAATGAATTCTTAGGAGAACAGGTATGGTTTCTGAATTGATATGGAAGCTTCTAAAACTACAGGTAATCCTTGATATATGACCATTATTGGGATCAGAACCTCTTTGCTATGTGAGGTGGTCATGAAGTGAATCACAGTTTATGACCTTGTTTGTTGTGATCATTAAGCAAATCGTCATAATTGTTAAGGAAATCCAGCTTCCCCCATTGACTTTGCTCGTCAGAAGCCAGCTGGGCATGTTGTAAATGCTGATCATATAACCCTGGGATACCACAACATCCTAAATATATGGTTTTTTTGTTTTTTTAATTTTTTATTTGATTTTTATATAAACAATACATTTTCCATTAACCAGTATGTCATCTGGGTATAAATATTTTGTGCCAACATTAAAATATACAATCTTATTCATTATTTAATCTCATCAGCTTAATTTCCAATTCCTTAAGTATCTCTTTAAAAAAAAAACACAAATATTTCATCATTTGTCAATCATTAAGACATTGAAGTACAATTTTTTTGTGTGCCCCTCCCTCCCTCCCTCCACCCCCCCCCCCCCTTCCCCCCCCCCGACTTCCCAGAACCCGTACACGGTATGGATTTTAACTAACACAGTCTAAAATCTATTGAGAAAAAAGAGATAAAGAAATTAATGACATTCATCCTAAATACATGTTGATTGCCAAGCACCTAAATTTTGATCACATGATAGGGTCACTGCAACAGTTGTAGGCGCAAGTATCTGTCACTTCTAGGAATCCCATCTTAACTTTGAATAGTTGCTAAACAAATGATCATAAGTCAAGGCCTAACCCCCCTATGTACTTCCCAGACTATTCTACTCTGGAAGCATCTGTTCTAGCTAGCTGAGAGTTTATATGTCTTTTTGCACAGATGGAAATGTGTGTTTTAATCTGGACCCTTGAAATGGTTCCCAATTTATTTAATAATATTTATTGTAAAGTGTAAAGCTGTTTACTGCTGGATTTGGACTTTTTAACGGGAACAAAATTGCCCTTGTATTCTCAATTGTTCAGTACCAGGGGGAGGTTACTGCAAAATCCCCATTCCCTCCCGATCAGCTGGGACTCGGGAAGCAGAGAATAGATGGGGGCAGGGCCAGTCACAAGTGGTCTTTATTGGTTCTCCAAACCAGTGGCAGGTTTCAAAAATTGTTCGAACCTATTGTGTGGGCGTGGCCTCCTTTTTGGGAGTGGCTTGCCAGCCATGTGACCGGATGGGAGTGGCTTGCCACCCATGTTACCGGATGGGAGTGGCCTGCCACCCATGTGACCTGGTGGGAGTGGCCAAGACGATGTTATTATTAGATATTACTAATTACTAGATATTATTAATATTACTAGATCATTATTAATGTGTAGATAACTGCGGACATTACACCCCCAGCCCCACCCACACACAAACTATAACAGTGCCAGGAAAACACCAAAAAATAAGACTCCCCCCCCCCCCCAAAGACTGCCAATGAAACCAGTTTTTTTCCCTAAGCCTAAGGACAGGAAAGACAAAGTCACTGGAATAAAAACCATCAAGGCAATGTGGAAAATTATAAAGACAGGCGCCCATAGAACCATCAACCACCTCAGAATTACCTAAACAACGAGGGTGAAACACACTAAATCTGGCAAAGCTGCCTTTCAAGAAACCTGGCCTGCCCATAGAAAAGCAACCACTTTGAGACACATAAACCTGGTCTCAACATTTAAAAGCAACATATTGCGTCAGAAAGAAAACATTTGCAAAAAGGAATAACGAACCGGGAGGAACCCAAACTACTCAAAATTTCCACTAACGGTTCTCTAGAACTGGTCAGAACCTGCTGAATGCCACCTCTGTAGGAGACACTGAAATAAATTATTTTAATATAGTACACATTAGAAACAGTGGCAGATAGCATCACAAGCACCAAAAAAAACCTAGTTGGGTTGACATTTGGGTCTCTGCCGGTGTATAGAGTCCTCCCATTCTTAAAACATGGAAAATATCACAGATTTGTTACTAAGCAGAGACTTTCTAATTCACAGATTAGTAAGCACGTCGAACAAGGCGGCATCTGCAAGATATAGTCCTATTCCCTAGTATCGTATTACTTAGTCCTGGATTTATCTGGATAATAAACTCTTTTTCACGTTCGGCTTTATCTATTTCCGAGGGAAATTTATGATGCAATTGCAGAAATTATTAGAGCGAGCCCAGCAATAACATCTCTTTAATGTGAGATAAAGATTCCCTGAAAAAATCTTCCCTCAGGACTGAAAAGCAGACCCTTGATCCTGATCCCATTGGTGGCCAAAGCTAAACCATTATTAATTTATTTAAAACATTAATCTAGCCACTCATCTTATAACCAGTCCTGGGCAATTTGCGATCCCAATCAATTATCCAGCATCAGTTAGTGCAGTTGTTGGAGTTGGGGGGAGACTGAGAAGGTTGAAGTAAAAAACACCAGCTCTTCTTGTAAAGGATGTGCATCTCAGAAGTGAGATATGGAACATTTATTTAAATGGCATGTGTTACTATTTGGAGTTATTTTCTTTGGAATTGTTGGTGTGGAAAAAATTTGTATTTTGGTGCTTGTCTTTTTTTAAAGGAGAAATTATTTTTGGTTTTCTTGTAAAAAATCTTTAAGTTTTGTTTGTTTACTAGAATCTTTTTATGCCTTCTAAATGGGGCTTTGCTTACAACTAAGAGTTGAGACAAGGAATCTTAAGGTTTATATGTGTTGATTCCTGTTAATATTCTGGAGTTCAGTTTGGGCTTTTTGCTGATAATTGGGGCAAGGAGTTGTTACTTACTTGATTTACCATTAGAGTTGAGTTATGGGAGGAGGAGTTTTATATTTGTTAATTAAGGGGAGGTGACGGGATTATGAACTTGGCATGATGAGTGGAGAAAATCCCTTCCTTAAATGGGAGTTTACCTTTTTGCTTTCATTGAGTTTTGTTTCTTTT